CCGTTAAAACATCAACCGTTAGTCAACAGCTTGATGGTATAAAACTCACGACGATTCTCAAAATTAGCAAATTAATCATAATAAATTGTCCAATTTGAATCGACGAAAATGCATAATGAAATTAGCGCATTCCGGTGAACTGTTGAATTTCAAGAGGTCTACCTCTCACAACCAAGCATTTCATGTTTTACGCCGATAGACTTTAGCACCAGCACCAGATGCCTCAGCGTCTGGCATATGTACAGAACTTTGCATAACACACCGGATACTTGAAAATTTGTTGCTGGACGTTAAATGTTTCGTGTGTATGGAAAATTGAGGAGGCAGGCCATGAACCATAACCACCTCCTTCGGCAAAATTTTCCCCAGATCTTTCACCGAAATAATTTAAATTCCTCAAAAAAAAAAAACAAAGAATTGCTGAAAATAAAGATTTGTGCCAGATACAGTGGAGCAAGTCAACAACGGAATTCTGTTCTTCAACCCTCGCAACTGAAAAATAATGACAGGCACGACAAAGAAAGTGCGAAATACGGGTTTTACTGGTGAAAAATTCTGTTAACGCAAATCTACAAAGGATAATTATGTGTATTTTTGTGAGCGTGCATTTTTACTCGGTGACGATGGGCTTCACGGGGATGTAGGTTAATGAGGTGATATTCGTTAGGGAATATTATTTTGGAGGTCTTTGGAGGAGGTGAGTTTTCCCCAGTTGTTCGCTTCTCCATTTTTTTAGTGAAAAAGAGAGGATTCTGCTTTGATCATTAAAAATTTTTATGAAGATTAAAACAGGTGAGAGTGTAATTGTCGCAGTAGTTATCCTCAAAATCAAAAGGCACATATTTGTAATTAGATGAAATTTCTACTGCAGGGGGGGGGGGGGGGGCACTCATAAAAATAAATTTCGTGTACTATCGTTTATTAATTTCTAAAATAATGACGATTAAGAAGAAAAATATTGAAGTTTCGGATTTATTAGAAAATTACATAATATTTATTTTTCCCATAACAGATTCCCCTTTGATAAATATTTTACAATTATAATTGATTAATAAACAATGGATGAAATTCCAATATTCATCAATTAATTCATTAGAATTGATCAATTACTGAATTCAAATATACCATCGCTATTCATCAATAACTAATTAATAAAGCTTCATGAAGGATTTTTGCATAATTCATCCACCGTTCGGTGAATTTCCGACGAATCCTATCACTTGTATTAATATTCCATTAAAAGTAATTGAAATTCCGAATAACATTTCGAAAACCACAGCAAAACGCGATCTACAATCACCGCAGACGCCCGGAAAAATCAATCGAATCTGAGCGGTCGACCTCCAGTAACTTTGCTCTTCCAAGAGATTAATGTTAACTTCCCTCTCAAGAGTTAATAAGTCCCAACACCGATAAATCCCGGAAACTCACCTCCCACATCTCCACCTCATCCCGGCAATTTTATACAGTCCTATCTCCGAGCTCTTCCGCTCTTTTCTAATATTATTTTTCTCCCTCACTCATCTCGCGCCCATTTAAGATCCTGCGGTCGCCCGGAGTCCTCCAGGCCAAAAGTTCAAAACTTCGTTTGGCCAGAGGAAAGAAAACGAAAAATGTCGAGAGCGAAAAAAAAAGCAGAAAAGCGGGGAAGAAAAAAGAAATTTCAAGAAAGAGAAAATCGTCTACTCTGCGGCATTGAGTGTACGGGTTTGTGGAGCTAGGGGTTGCCTCAAGAATTCCCCCCGGAATTCCCCCATTCCCTTACTCGTGTCTTAGTCGTTTCTTTTAACTGTGTAATCCTCCTTGGGTTAGTTTGTCCACTTCCTTTTTCCCTTCTTTCACCCTTGTACACCCTCTCACCCCTCGCATCCCTCTGGGAAGCTACTGGGAGGACGTTAGCACGGCCCATATTGCGTCTGCCTATCTCTCTAACGACGCAAACAGCCAAGCTAATTTATATGAACACCAGAATAAAAACAGGGAAAATAGACGGGAGGGAAAAAGAAACAGGAGGAATGTGCCGGCAAGTTTTGCTAGTTCTCTTCGAGAATTAGAGCTTCTGGGTATACGAGCTTCCTCCCGCCATTTGATTTTTTTCACTCCTCTCTCCGTTTCGTGATTATACTTTCGAGTTACCGAGAGGTACCCGTGGGTTGAGTGAAATATAAATGTGGTGTTTAGTCGGGTGACTGAGTGGTTTTTGAAGCGAGAAGAATGAGTATGAGGATACGCGGAAAAAATAAAGTTGTAAGTAAATTTCGATAATTGTTTTATGAGACATCGGTGTGAAGATGATGAGGATATGACGACGAAACGTTTCAAATGACGATCAGACCAGGTATTGATCTCGTGAAAAACCCCGGGAACGCGATCCATGAAAATAATTATTATTTTTCCTTCTGACGTAACTTGTCTATTGATTGGAGCGCGTTAGCTCAAGAACTCGCTCAGAACAAACTTAAGGAAAAAAAACATCGATCAAAACTTGGCAAGTGAATTAGTGCCATCATTAGTGGTAAAAAGTCGAAAGTGAATGGGGTGAGTGGGTGGTGATGGAAAATATAACGAAAGTTGATAACAAAAAGTAGATCCAGATCTTCACTCTCTCTTTCGAATATCAAAAATCGAATAACGATCAGATCTGATAATTATCGAGAAAAAAGCCTTAAGAACACCATTCCGCGAAAATAATTATTCTTTGCCCCTTGAAAATCACTTTCCCATTGATTGGAGCGCGTTAGCTCAAGGAGTCGCTCGAAAGAAATTGAAAAGAAATTCAAAAGAAATTCAAAAGAAATTCAAAAGAAATTCAAAAGAAATTCAAAAGGAACCTGGGGGAAAAAAACGCCCGATCAAAACTTCAGAGCAATTTTAGTGCCTTCGTTAGTGGTAAAGAGTCAAAAGTGCACTATGGAATGAATGGAGTGGTAAAAAGTATAACGGAAAAAGTCGATAACAAAAAAAAATGTCCAATATCACGTCCCTGCCGGATACGTCCCCAGAGCCGAGGTGGTTTTGGATCTGCACAATGACTCTCTGGTGAAAATTTTCCGAGTACGTTTTGTACGACAATCGAAGAGGGAACGATGTACAATATCTCGTGGGAACGGACCATTGGATATCAAGGATGAGAGGGTGAGGGCTGGGTTTTGAGGATATTTGAATGGGATTGGATTGTGAGCGGATTCAGAGCGGAGGTCCATCAGCAGGAAATAAGCGTGACCCTTACATTCAGTCTCATTGATGCTTAAAAATACACTTAACTACTATATCGTATTATCGTACCGAGTAAATCGATATCTGTATGTGTACGTGACATCAAGTTCAAAGCCGCTCGCGAAAAGCCCTTTAGGGTGTAATCCTATTCCAAGAATGCTTTGGAGAATCGAGAAAGAAGAAAATACGGCAATGGAATTTTTTTTTCTCTCTCCAATATTGGAAGTCTATCAATTCGTTTGTGGAATTGAGTCTTGTGCGGAGAGTCTACTGAACTGAAAGACTCGATCTATCGTGATGGAATTCCATTTCTATAGTCAGACGATACGAGAAATAAGTAATTGCTTAATTCTAGTGCAACGGTACAATGATTGTCGAACAATTTCCACTCGGAATTATTGCCGATTAAACGAGTGCATCGGATGACACCCGACACAAGGAAGCTGATGACGAAAATCTTCATGATGACGAATAATCCAAAAACAACTTGTCATGTTTGATCATCTGGGATGAATAATTACTCCCCAATCACCAATCTCCCAATTGCCTAATTGACTGACACCAGCGAACAACCAGAACCAGACGTCATCGTGAATAATTTTGATCTGGAGATATGACATTGTGACCTTCCAACAAGAATCAATAGCGCAAGCCACCAGACATCAATGAGGTCACCAGGCGGAAGCCACCAGTAGTCCTCATTATCTCCGAATCGTCAACTCCATCGTCCCCTCGCCAAATCAACAGGCCTTCAATAATCGAGAGTCACACAATTCGGAGCGACTTCATCAGTCAAAAAGTGAACCATCGAAATCATTAACGATTCCTCCCACCACTCAAAATTCGTCCAAGCGAGAGGGCAATTCACATTCAGTCGAGATTTCCTGATGGAAATGCGGAGAATTGTGTGGACGAAGTACCAGTGGGAGATTACCATGTCTTCTACATGTAGAAAACGTGTGAATGATGCAGATCGTCGAAGCAAATGATACGAGGACGGTGTGAAATCGATCGGGCCAAAACTTGAGCTCAAACATGAAGGTCAAATCATCTCTACGAGCCAAATGAAATTGCCATCTCAAATGTATGGATTAATTTTTGAAATAAATTTCTATTGGTCACGTTCGAACGTGAACGGACCCGTTCTTCAAGAAGCAATCCGAACCCGCCAATAAACCCCAGCCCACCGCCAAATCTCATTTTTTCGTCATCTCTTTTTAACCCCCTCATTCTACTCAAATACCTCACTCTCAGTATTTTTCCGATTCTTCATCCACCCCTGTACCACCCACTCTTTACCATCGCCAGTATCGTTTCCGGTTGGCGTTCACTGGTGTCTCCGTACTTCTCTTTACTGAACACATTGTAATTCCAACCGAACAGTTTCGCTAGTGGCAAGTCCCTACGTGCCAGGCATGTCAAATTCGACACATAAAACTGCAGTAGAGACAGTTACGCCGTAGCTAACGTATCGTCAGCACGTGCCACTGACATTGGCAAAAGAAAAGGAATGAAGTGAGGGAGACGCGGGGCAAAGAGACGAACAAGAGAAGTGGGTATAGATTTAGCTTTAGCTTTTCGTAGCTGTGTCATTGTTCCCATGTCGATTGTACAGCACGAACCGTGAGTAATTGGTATTGGGAGTCATTAAGGAAAAGATCGAGAGGTACCCAGTGACTTGAGATTAGATATCGAACAAATCACATAGAATTCAGAGAAAAATCAAATAAATAATTCAACGCGATAGGTATTATACTGAGTAATTATAAGGTGATTGTACTTACAATTGAAGTACAATAAGATACCAGCGACAAAAACGAAGATAACTATCAGGAGTATCAGAAAGAGGAGAAGAATCGTTGGTCTGCACCATGGGCTCCGCGGTACCTCAGTCTGTCTACCCTCCTTGGCATTCTTTTTCTGGTCTACAACACTCGATTCACCAGTAACATTAACTACAACACCCTTGTACGTATACTGGGGTGCTTTTTTATCAGTGCGAAATCCATGATCATCCTCGGGATCCGAGTACACACCGTAAGCTTCGAAATTATTCTTTCTGTAGCCATTAGTTTTTTCAGTTACCGCTGGATTGGCCGAGTCACTCGTTTGTTTTCGCTGATAAGCACCAGATGTTGCACCAACTTCACTTATCTTGAGTGTTTGATCGTAAGATTTTGCTGATGTATCCTGATATCTGGCCACTGGCTCGTACTTCGATCGCTCCTGGATATAACTTTTCGATGTACTCAATTCATACTTTGATGTTGAACCGTCGAATGTCTTGACACCACTCTCGTAACTCTGCTCCTCGTACTTTGATCCATACGGTCTAGCTGTATCGTACGAGTCATATGTTTTACCGGATGTATCGTATCTTGGCAATGTACCATACATCTTGCCGACCGTGTACTTACTCTCGTATTTTGGATTGGAGCAGGAGCCGAGCTCGTAAGATGAGTCCCTTGTTTTGATGCCAGACTCGTAGCCACCCTTCGTGAGAGTGTCATAGTTCTTGCTGATGGGTTCATAGATCTGACCTACGTGATGGCGATGATCCTTTTTAGAATCGAGCTTGAGTGTCTCTTCAGCGTACCGCGCCGCGTACTCATAATCCGTCAAATCTCTGGAGTACCTTCTGGTGGTGTCCGGTGGATCCTGATAACGTAGCTTTTGGCTCTCGCTTCTATCGTAAGGTGCATCCAGGTCTGACTCCTGATACGGCCTCTCAGCCCTCCTGTCATATCTCAAACTCTCCTCCGGATATATCCTGTTGTCATATCTTTCCATGTTCTCTTGATCAAATCCACCGCCCGGTGTTTTCCTATCGAAACTTCGCGTGGGATAATTACGCTCTCCGTAATCGATATCGTTTGTTCTCGCTGGGATACCACTGTCCACGTAACCACCTCCAGACTGACCATCCTGAAAGGTCTTCGGCTCGTAATCCATGTAACGGGAGGTTCTTCGCTCGGTACCATAGTCCATGGAGCCCTCAACTACGTTCGGCAATTTACCGCTCAAATTTTCACCAGTACCATTAACAATACTCGTGTCACAACTCTCTGCATGCTCCAGTAAATTCGGTAGCCTCGATGTTGAGCTACCTGGTGTATTCTCGGTGAGGTCCAACTTCAGTCCATTGTTCCTTCTCATCTTTTAGGATTAACATGATCGATCGTTGATTGCATTCCGCCGTTAGTTACGTGTAATTATGGTACCGGATGGAGCATCAACTTCATTCCATTATCACGGAGAGACCATCGGTGAATCGCTACATTTTCCACTTTACGATGAAGTCTCTTTGATCCCCTTCGGAGGCGCGTCGGGTTAAGCTGATTAGTTGGTTTGCTGCTGGTTAGTTGGAGGGAGAAGAATCTGAAAATAAAGAGAGAGTTTGGTTAATGTTAATGATGTTAGTTCGATGGACAGGTGAGTTAGATGTTAATGAGGTAGAGATGTTGTGGGATAGTTAATTGTTTCGAAATCGTTTTAAACAGTATGGAAATTCTACTTGACCTCTGCTGTTGATGCTTTCAATCCTTCAAGATTTTATACGTCTCTACCAAAGTGGAATATCAAGTTAGATGCATTGTGTGCGCTTGTTAACGAACATGCCAAATTAGATACCACGTCCCTTGAGGATCTTTGAGCTTTGTAGGGGTTGAGCTAGAGAGAGATGACACCACCCCATTTCATCCTTCGTCAAGCGTTTCACGCATATACCCAAACCAGAGAGCGGATAATACCGATGATAACGATAATAACGTTATGTTCTGCTTGGGTTAATGACGCACGTAATCCGAAATCTAACTCGAGGTATGGATTTAGGTACTGTCGATTGTTTAATGTATAATATCAAATTTATGGGGTGGATTTCACCGTCTAATGATGGTAGAATTGTTTCATATTATTGGTATCGTCATGCCAATCACTGTACGATTGATCCATTATTTCTGATGTTGAGGAATTGATGGATGAGCGGAGGAAATCAGGGTCGATGATTTGTAGGGCGGACAGATCATGAAGTGGCCCAGCCATTTATTTCGAGACTCAGATCAAAGAATCAGCTCGAGTCAGTGTGAAAAATCCAAAGCTTTAGTTTATGGGTTTGAGAGATAAAATGAGGCGACCTAGTTAATCAGAATATTCAGCGTTGATTGTGACGGTGACTCCAGGTGTAACAATCAGAATTATTTCCATCTCATCCCGGGGATAAAAAGAGAAATCCCGTGGCTTTAGTTGTACAACGGTAGTTCCAGAGAGGACAGAGCTGAGGAGAGGTGGAAGGCGTTCCATCGTCATAAAATTTCCTCGCGACTAAGCTGGAGTAATAAGTACACCAGGGTTCAAAGGAGATTGCTGTTCCGCATGCAAATATGATTAGTTCCGGAGCGTAACTTCATTTGCGTATATTAAAAGCGCGGATAGCTCACTTTATGCAAACGACAGGGTTGCTTGGATAGGGGGCAGGAGAATGAGGGGGGAGGATTGAATGAGTATACTGCGCTGAAATACTGTGGGGTGTGTAGACCAGGTGAAAAGGAAACATGTTTGGGGGGTAAATTATAGGCTGGAGCTGTACATGTGACGTGTATACACAACAGGAGGTAAAGCTGGAGAAAAAAAAAAGTACTGAGAAACAAGACAATGAATACGAAGATGAAAGGAAAGGAATGGAGAGAAAAAAAAGTGACAGGCGTATTTGTCACGACGAATGGACTACTTTCTTTTTCGTCTCTTATTTGTTTGTCGTGGGGATCGATACTTCGTGGCGAATTTTTTCGAGGAGGCTTTTAGTAATCAACATAGAGGAATAGTTATAATAATTATGTGAAGTTGTGTGAATCTCTCTCGAAGATATTTACTGATGAAAATCTCCCTCTGAAAAAAATCTCTCCATTGATCCCGGGGAATTTTACTGGGGAACATTTTTTCATGGAAGAATTTTTGAGGGAGAACTGAGACGTTCCCTTGCAGTTAAATCAATCGAAATCTATTGAATATTTCTGGTTATCTTCACCCTCAGTATGACTTTCTAATTTAAACCTGATCGCCTATCAGTTTCTCCCCATCACTTTCCGACTCGCGAGTTATTGAAATTTCCCGGAGTTCATTACTCGTCGCCTTCTGATTGCCAGGCTTTTATCATTTCGATGCATAATTGTAGTCTCTTTCTCGGGGTATGAAAGGCAGAATGAAAGATAACGAGAAACCGGGGCTGACAGAGGAGGGGAATGAGAAAATTAGTAACGCCTTTTCCGTTATTACTCCAATGCCAGTGGCTGCATTTTCCTTAGCCGTGAAACTTTTTTTTTCCACGAATGAGGCACGTTAAAACTTTCTCACGAAAATTCCAACTCCTGCAATTCTCAGCTAAATCGAATAGCCGTCGACGGTTTTGCCTCATTGAGCCTGTGTCCTTCCTCCCTTAAGCTCCTCTACCCTCGGGAATCGAAGATATTCCAAATTTGCGGGGGAGAAATATTCCATTGGGTATAATAATTGTCTTGGTATCTTTGAAATTTAATTGCAGTGGGACTGAACCACCTGCAAGCTGCATTCCCATCGGCTAGACCGGTGGCAATACTATCCGAAGAATTCGCAGATCGAAATTCGGTGGTTACGTTTCATTATTTAAACACCTAGTAGAAAAAGCTATGAATCGAGCCGAAATATCGTTTTATTCATCTCGACTTATCAACTGTTTTACAATTTTATGGGCTAGAGAATTGAAAACCCTTCACCTAGAATTGCGCATGTGTATCCCATCACAAAATTCCATCTGACGATAAATTTTATTCCACAAAATAAGAAATGACAGCGACAAGTTTTGCGTTATGAAAATATGCATCCCCCGGTATCTCGAAAGGCGTGAGAGATAAATAGATCGGCAACCAGTGTTTTCCAAAGAGAATTTCATCCCTCCCGCTATCACCGAATTATCGCAATAACTCGCCAACTCTCGTTGCAAGCGTTTGTTTCAATTCCAATTTCCATCTCGTCATTTGACAATTTGCCCCGGTCTCTCATACCATTCTTCCTTCACTCCAAATTGTTCTCTCTTTCATTCGCCACAAATGTTTTTTTTTTATTCCTCCACTCCCTCATCTCTGTTTTCCAGTGGAGCCAGAGGTAGCATAAAAACTTTTGAATTATTTATGTTTTTCCGTGGGACCGCAGTCGCAATGCAGGATGCAAATGCATCTTCTTTTTTACAGCCCCTTTGAATGTTTAATGGGAAAAGGGTGTCCTATCGTCTCTCTCTATTTCAAAGAAGAGATGGCACATCCAAGAGAGGTGGAAGAATTGAGTAAACGAGGTGAAAATGAATAAATAAAGCAAACATTGTAAAAATAAAGGTGACTACGATCGGTTGAAAATCACGACATGAAAACGGCCATGAGAAATTTACCCTATCCCCAGTTGCCAATGTACACGGGAGAGGGGTCGAAAAAAAGATGGGAGAGAAGAAAAAAAGACAGCAGTAAAAAAAGAAACTCCGGTCATTCCCCGGCATAACATCAGAGGAACTTTGATATGAAACGAGAATCACCGGGTAAAGGGGAGAAGAAAATGTCGGAAACATCTGGAAAAAAAGGACAAGAACGAACGAAAAAAAAAAAATTATCGCGATAATAAACCAGAACGTCAAAGAGTGAAAGATACGGTGGGATAAAGTGTGATTTTCGATATCAAAAGAGGGTACTGCAGAAATAACGATCCCGTCACTGGTATTTTGATGCGCCCATGGGATTTCATTGCTCTAGACTAGTATCAACATGATCCTGACGTACTCTCGTTGTCCTATATTCGTAGATTTTATTCCGTTTCTTCGAGAATCTTAACGCACCCCATTGCGCCGTAAAACACTCGGTCTTGTGACACAACAAATGGAAACAGTGCTGGATAAATCTTGAAAAACTGTCCGTAAGGTGAAAATAATTGTCGAAATTTCGTCGAGTGATTTACACCAGTGAAATGTTGCGTATAATTCTTATTCCTGCTGGAAAACAACTTCCCCTACCAAAAATGTCCAATGTTTCACGGGAATCGGACAGTGGCCTGCAGAAAATGAGGGGAACCCTCTCGCTGTTTTGTCAACTGGGCGAGGCGAATGGCGAGAATAATTTGTCAAACTGTCCGAGAAAAACTCTTTCAACTACCTTCAACCCTCTTTCTGCTAATACATCAACACCAGAATGATAGAATGCTAATTCGATTTTCGATTTTCAATCTCTGATCTTTCCTCAATTTTTGGGATAATTCCTCTATTCCTGAAATTTCCGCAAATTTCAATGACAAAATCATATGAATTTTCAATTGATATGAGTATGAATTCAATTTCAATGTTCAACGATCACTAAATTTTCCATTTTTCTTGAATTTTTAACAATTATGTTATGGAATTTATCGGAAATCATGAGTGTCAGTGAAAATCACAATAACACACCTTTTGAAGAGAGCATTGATGGTTTAAAGTTGGAGTGTATGTTTCAATAAATGGGTCAGCCATTGTTTGCACTTGCCCTCGAGTATTTCAGTCTCCTGAAATACTCGGCCAAAAATACACGTATTGATCCAGTGGGCAATCAATAATTCTGAGAGGTTGGACAGAGTTTCTCTCAAGATTCCGCGATGTTGTCTCGAGGTTCGATAATACCGGCGAAATCCGGAAGATAAAAAAAAAATATAACCAAAAAAAAAAGTACTTTTCTTTCCTCAACAAAGCTATATGCTTATTCATATCAAATAATATGAATATATTACATAATATTATAACGCACGTTTATAATATATGTAAACAAATACATATGCATAATTTGTTTTAGTGAAAGAAAATCCTTGATAGTAATTCTGCCATATTTGTGGTCTCTGATAAAGATCCCAGAAACAGTTACGAGTATTTGACCGAGTCATTGAACATAATGGTGGCAAAGTTACGTACAACTGTAATGATAAGCAATACTGACACAACCCCTAGAATTCAACGACGGGTTTCGTTAATAGTTGATGAAGCCTTTCAGAAGCGAAATGTCTCTATCAATTCGCCTCGTTCAACTTTTTGCCCCAGCGCTGCCATCCACCAATGATAGGAAAATCGATTTCACAACGTAGTTTAATGTACACCATCATCCCTCAGACTACCTATTAGATGCACCAATGGTAATGGTAGCAATCAAACGTTAGGATTACGAGAGTGAGGGTAAGCTTAACTGGCAGGTGCATAATGTCGTCTCTCCACCTGCGTATCAGCTTTCATCCAATCCCCCAGCACATATATACATTCATTATGAAAATTTACAGTCGGAGATGTTACCGTGGGGGAAAGTGAGACATGTGTCCTAGGGCAATACCAGTTCCCTTCATTTTCCCGAGCCAACAGTTACTCCAAGTGTGCAGGTGCGGTTTACCCATAAGTATCATCATTTGTACTGTCCGTGTACTGAATTCGAGACTCTATAGGCGGTTGTTCTATCTGTTTGACCTCGAGATGTACATAGTTCTACGGTGTGTAATCAGTATGACACACCCTCGGAGAATATCATCGGGTACACAGAAAAGTGTAAACATGGGGGCGTACTATTGACATGTTTTTTTTATCAATTGGTGTACTAGTTATTTCAACTGCCAAATGTCTTTCTCAGATCACTCAATGATGATCTGAAGTAATACACAACTTTTGTTGGATATTATGATTTTTTAATGATTTTTCTTTTTGCATTTTATCCGAATTGAAGTTTAGTAATTCGTTGTTAACATTTAATCGATATAATTTTATTTTAGAATATGAAACGTTTGAATAATTTAATGGTAAATTCCCAAGTTATTTATTTATCTTCATTTAAACATAATTATCTCAGGCTCTTATTACCAATCAATAAATAATCATTTACAAAATATTGGAATTGATTGAGTTTGATTCAAACTGAATGCAATGAATTGCTCTTCTCAAAAAAATTCTTCTAAAACTTGGAATTACAAAGAATTTCAAGTTTTTTCACCGAAACCCAAAAAACCACTCAGCATCATAAATGACTTGTCCCACACCTGACAATAATAATTCCATACGATTCTTAATAGACTTTTCCGAGAACCCACCCCCTCCCAACCCGATCACAATTACTACCCCTCAACTCGACAAAAAATACCTCCCCTAGTCCCAAAAAAAAGACCTCACAACGTCCTCAACTTCTTTTCATTCCACCAACTCCTTTCATCGGCCTTTCTTCCTGCCCATCTGACGACGAAATCTCGAGGACGTACTCCTGGATTCAATTAGGGAACTATTAGACAGAAACTCCCGTGTCGCGAGAATCAGTGGGCCACACCCTTCGGGTTCCTCTCTCGTTACGGAGGGATGGGGGCAAGTGAAAAAGGTACGACTCAATGCTTTTCTCACTCCGTCTTTCCATTCTATTTTCTCCCGTTTGAAATCTATTGTTTCGAGTGTAACTATATATCGTTAGTACTGTAGGCTCAATTTTCCCAACTCCCTTCCACCCCCATTTCCTCCCGCATCCATTCATTTCTCATCCCCAAACGAGAGAGAAGACGAGAAAAAAGTTTGTAACGAGATGCGAAAGTCTCTCCGATTTACCGGAGTAATTAAAATCCAGAGGGGGTGGTGCACTTCGATTCATTGGGAGGTAGAAGAGGTGGAAGAGATAGAGAGGGTGGAGTGGGCGGAGAGGGGGGAGATAAGGGGTAGGAATGGGTGGAGAAGCGGGGATAACTGAAGGCATTGCATTGAAAGCGTTAAATCTGATCTGAAATTAGTTCTGTTCAGTTACCAATTCATTGTATTTCTTTCCCATTATTTTTTTAACGGTAAAAAGAAAGAGACCATTCCTTCGATAATTTATCTCCTTGTGTCTGGGACACACACCAATGAAAATTCTGGGAAAATGTCGGTAAAAATAATCACTAGAGCAGACACGTCAGTCTCATCGAAATGGGGCTTTTTGTTTTATTCTACAAGTTTGCATAATTAATCTCATTCGTCCAAACTGTAATTACTCCATTGGGTTAACCCCTTCTGTTCATGCACCCGGAATCGATAGGGTCACGCGCACGACCTTTCTAGGGGGTTTGTGATGGGAAAGGATGGGGGGTGGGAGGAGAAAGTCGGTAAAAAGCACACGCTTTTGTATGGCCCTATCGCAATCCATCGCGACCTCGAATGGTGGTCGGTGGATTTTTTTTTTTTTTTCCTCCAAGGGAACAAAGGGAAAAATACGCGCATACTTTCCATTCTCCCACCATGTAAATTTGCTGGGGAGTGGGAGGGTGGTAGCGTTATTGCTGAAACTTTCGTGGAGAGAAGCGGTTTTGCAGGGGAAGGCGAGATGGTGGGGATTATCTGGCATTGTCCAGGGCTTTCGGAAACACCGAAAAATAGATTGAAAATAGGGGAGTGTCACTGATTTTAGATATTTTTTGAATTTACATGAAGGTTGTATGAAAAATGTATAAAGTCTATTTGTACTTTCTTTTATTTTTTAATCTATTCAGTGAGATAATAATATTCTTGGGTCGGGTTTACTTTGTACTTGATTCTAGCCACCAATTTTTTGGTGTGAAATATATAATTAATTCAATAGATTGGACACTTGAATATTTTTATTATTATTGTGTTATTGGTATGATATTTTTTTCCCTCCGTTGTGGTGTGGTGGACTCGGCAAAATTGCGAACTGCGTTGATAGGAGAAATTTTTAGTTCGTGGAGAGTAGACTAATCATTTTTACGAGAGTGGTTTTTAATTGAATTAATTTGAGCAAAAAATAACGTGAAATTCAATCAATCCCCAAATTGTTTAACAACGTCAAAATCAACCCATGATCAATAATAATGTTGTTAACATATAAAAGTTGTAAAGAATTACCTGATAATTGACGTATTCAGAAGGGGGAAATTGTTTTTTGATTGGTTTATGTAAGTTTGAAAACAATCATGCGGCTAACGGAAAATATTTGTTTTTAATCTCATACATTTTTGGGGGTCGCAATGTTATTTTCATCGAATAAAGGGAAAATTTTGTAGTTCTTTTTTCATTGAAATTGTCAATTGCGTGGGCGCACGGATTCACGGATGACAGAAAACAATTACATTTTGACTTCAAATTTTTTGGCAAGCACAGAATGTAATTTTCTACTTTTTTATTTACTTGTTTAGAGACTTCCATTGAATCGATATTATTAATTATTCTTTTGAACAATAATCCAATTAATTAAATAAAATTATTAAAATTCAAAAGCTCTTCCAAAAATGATTAGTCAACCGTTCACCGAATAAAATTTTTTTTACGCAATTATTTTGCTTTCAATAAGCAGCAAAGAGAATTTTACGCCACAGTTTGAATGCTTAAATTCTTTTATGTTATTCTGGATTCCCCGAAGTCACTTCCTTGATTTTATAGCGAAGAATGGATTATATAAGGAACAGCTCGAACGTTTTCCAGAATTGTTCATTCCGCGAAAAATTGAGTAGCAATGAAGAACTGTTTGGTTTTCCTCTGGTTAATTCTCTCGATTGCTCTGAACATTAATGTTCAGGGATTGCTCGATATTAGTCGGTCAATAAAAAACATTGGTGGACAAGTCATTGATACCGCGGTGGGTCTCAGTCGCGATATTAAATCCAGAATTGGCCACTCTGTTAGTGACAAAGAATTTACATGTGTCAAGAATGGTTTAGTAGCAGCAGTTGCCGACGTTATCTTTCTCGACCCTCACGACGAGCCAACAACTGCTAAAATAAATCTCGATTTGTTCGTGCAGTCGGACGGTGAAATTTTGAGCGCGAGATTTGTGGAGGAAGGGCACTATATTAATATTGAAGAGTCAAAATTTCATCCGGAGCGAAAAACGGTTTTCATTGTTCATGGATACAGAGAAAGTGGTGAGGATGACTGGCTACGTCGAATGGCGACTGCTTACGTGAAATACGTAAGGACGCCATTACAATAGCGAAGTAATAAATTTTTTTAGGAATTCATCCATTGGCATTGAGAAAATCGGCCGTACTGACAGCCGATAATGGCAGATATTGAATTTGATAATTTTTTTAAACGATTGATCTGGGGGATTAGTGATTGTAAGAGGAAATATCAAGTGACATTTTTTGTTCAGTAATTCAATAGATTTTTAAATCCATTTATCTCACTTCATTATTTCTCTACTGAATTATCAATGGCGTTGCTTGTCATGATTTTTATCGGATATCCTTTTTTCTATCAGGAGGATGTGAACGTCATTGTTGTTGACTGGAGCGTGTTCTCGAAAAATCTCAATTACAAGCAAGATGTTTATGACTCCCGACATGTAGCAACACAAGTTAAAGAGTGAGTCTCATCCTAAAAATTTCCGTGTAATTCAAGTAAAGCATTTTACTGCAAGATTAGCGAATGTTTTTAACACACGAGTCATAAAAATAGAGTAAAGATTATGAAATAATTCCAGAAAAAACGCTACGAGGTGCAAAAAAATTCTCATTTTGTTTCAACGAAGTTCGGCAATTTTTACTAAATATTTTCATGAAAGGTTTTCATTAAGTTAGATAAATTTTTATTTATAATTATTTCTAGCTTATCACTTGAATTACTATCGGCTTTTCCGGAAGGAACAGCATGGGGCCCAATCCATTTAATTGGGTTCAGTTTGGGGGCCCACATTGTCGGAATGATAGGGCAGTATTTTAAGCATAACATAACTGAATGGCCGGTTGAGAGAATTACAGGATTAGATCCGGCTCACCCTTGCATCACGGAAGCAAATTACGCACTGAATAAAGAAGACGCGCCATTTGTTGATATTATTCACACAAATGGGCATAAGGGGGTTGTAATTAGTTTGGGAATGCTAGACCCTAGAGGTATTAACCATTTTTTTCGGTGCTTTTCAAATATTGATATGATTTAACAGATAAAATTCAATTTTTATATGAGAAAATATTTTCTCACTATTTTGTTATCTATTGTTTTATAGTGTGTTCCCCCTCCAGTTTTGTTATTTTATTATTGATGAATGTCCACAGGACACGTGGATTTTTACGTAAATGGAGGACAAATTCAGCCGAATTGTGGCGTCGATTTACAACGTGTAGTCCAGTGTCAGTACTCGAATTAATTATCAAGATCCCCAGATATCATAATTAATAATTGAAAAAAATTTACAGCGACATTGCCCCTATTCTGCAGCCATCATAAAGCTCATGAGTACTTCATCGAGTCCTTGGAAGTGGCAGCCACCGGAAATGGATCATTTTTAACCGGAACTTTATGGAATCAGAGCATCGAATCAGCTCTGATTCATGTTGACACACCTTGTGAGACTACCTGTCAAAACCTGGGAATCACTGCTCATCCAAAGCCTGAAGGAAGCTTCTTCGTTCCCACCGCAAGCGATGCGCCTTATTACGGTTATACCAATATCAATCGATCTCCTAAATATTACTTCGTAAAATCTAACACTCGATTTCTGTTTCTTTGCAGAAATTAAAGAAAACGATCGCGAGAAAATCAAGACGATACTGCGATGGCTCCTCGTGACGGAGTAAAATATTGCAGCGGTAATATAAATGGAGAGGATATATCGACCTTTCAGGAAATGTCACGGAATTCCAGGATTCTGTACGAAAATTGATGGACATGAGATAAATGCGCATAAATGTTTCTCTAAAATCGAGGAAAACTCATTATGGAGATCAGTGATTGACAGAATGAGTTCCAAATAATTAATTATAGAAAAATCATCGTATTAAAAAAGAATTAACTTGTTAAAGATAAATGCATAGAATCATTTCTATTTTAAATACGTAGATTTCCATGTAATTAATAATTTTTGAGAATCTAATCCCAATAAAAAATTACAAATATCCATTAATATTAATATTCATAATTAATTCACTCGAATTTCCG